TACTCCCGTAAAGATTTACACCCTCAGAAACCCTGTACAGGGTCGCTATGGGTCGGACCCGACTCGATGGCACTTAACAACAACAACAACAACAGTACTCAACAGATTTTCACAAATGTATTTCAGGCAGAAGTCCCCAACTGGAAGCCTTACCTGAGATCCATCCAGAAATGAAGATACAGTGTAAGTGGCTTTCTCAAGATCATTTAGCCAATGAGTGGTGGAAGTGGGACCAGGACACATACCCCTAATTCCCATAGCAGTGCCGATCATAGGCTCGCCTGATAACTTCTCCATAAGATATGCCAAGAAGAAAGCACACAGATCTTCTAATCAGATAAGCCTCAAACTTCCAAATTCCAAATGATTGCACTCCACAGAACCCACTACAGACCTTGTATCACCACATTTCTTCTCTCTATATATATATCAGCATCACTTCATTAAAACTTGGCAAGAGTAGTATTTAACCAAAAATTCAGGAAGAGAAAAGATAGCTGTTTGAATTTTAAATATTCTTCTCTCAGAAAGTATAAATTTAAAAAGTACCCTAACATTTCCATCATAGACAGATCAGCACTGGGGTCACTATGTTGGCCTACAGCTGTGCTGCTAAATACAGTGGTCCCTGACCATGGGGGCTATTGAGTACCTGAAATGTAATGAGTAGAATTGAAGTTGTGCTCTCAAATACACACTGGATTTCAAAGGCTTCATAAAAGAAAAAGAAAGTAAAATATTCCACTAAGAATTAAATAGTGATTGCATGACCAGATAATATTTTTGGTATATTGGGCTAAATAAATATTATTCAAATTAATTTTACATGATTAGTTTTACTTTTTAATATGTTGTTGGTATGTGTCATCAAGTTGGTTCCAACTTTTAGAGACTATGTTTATAGTTTCCAAGGGTTTGCTTCTAAGTTTGAACTACAGACTATGCAGTTCAAAATGATATTGTGGACAAGTGCTTATCCTATACTACCATACCGGGGTTCCACTGTTATTATGGTGGTGTACTGTGGAGTCAGTTCCGAGCCATAATAACATAATAACCCTATGTATGGTTTCTGACCACCACTTGTCTGCCAGTTTGTTGTACTGTGGTGGCTTGTGAGTTGCTGTGATTCTGAAAGCTATGCTATGGGTATTTTAAATACCCTCAGGGTCAACCATGGTGGACAAGTTTCAGATGACCTTCCAGACAAAGGCAGAAGGAGTGGCAGACTATTTCAAAACATTTTAGTCTCTGAAAACATTATGAATAACTGAGAAATACTGTCAGATATAGTGCCAGAAAATGAGCCCCTCAGATTGGAAGGCACTAAAAATGTGACTGGGGAGTAGCTGCCTCCTCTAAGTAGAGTTGACTGTGACAACATGAATGGAATAAATCCTATAGGAGTAAATCCCACGGACCTTCATTTGCTGATGGGGCACAACTCAAAATGAAGAGAAACAGCTGAAAACAACCATTAATAATTAGAATATGGAATGTATGAAATATGATTCTAGGAATCAAAATGAAAAGAAACAGCTATAAACATTCATTAATAATTGGAACATGGAATGCACAAAATATGAATCTAGGAAAATTGGAAATTGTAAAAAATGAAATGGCAAGCATAAACATAAATATCTTAGGCATTAGTGAGCTGATATGGACAGGCGTTGGCCATTTTGAATCTGACAACCACATGGTTTACTATTCTAGGAATGACAAATTGAAGAGGAATGGTGTTGCATTCATTGTCAAAAGGACATATCCAGATCAGTCATAAGGTACAATGCTGTCTGTGATAATATCCATGCGCCTACAAGGAAGACCAATTAATACCACTATTACTCAAATTTAAACCAACCACTAAAGTCAGTGAGGACGAAATAGAAGAATTCTACCAACTTCTTCAATCTGAAACAGATCAAACATGCAATCAAGATGTATTGCTCATTACTGGTGATTGGAATGCAAAGATTGGGAACAAAGAGGAAGGATCAGTAGTTGGAAAATAAGGCCTTGATGATAGAAATGATGCTGGAGATCACATGATAGAATTCTGCAAAACCAATTATTTGTTCATTTCAAATACCTTCTTTAGACAGCATAAGAGACAATTATACACATGGCCCTCACCAAAAGAAATAGATAGATATCAAATTGACTACATCTGCAGAAAATGACGATGGAAAAGCTCCATATCATCAGTGAAAACAATTCCAGGGGTAGATCATGGAACAGACCATTTATTGCTCATATGCAAATTCAAGCTGAAGCTGAAGAAAATGAAAGCAAGTCCACCAGAGCCAAAATATGACCTTGAATACATCCCACCTGAATTTACAGATCATCTGTAGAACAGATTTAATACATTAAACACTAAAGACCAAAGACCAGAAGAGTTGTGGGATGACATCAAGAATATCATACATTGACCTAAACCTATTGATGCAGTAGCTAAAAAGAGGGAACAAATCTTTACAGCGAGGATCATTCACATATACAGAGTAGAAAGGGATGGGAAACTTGGGTATTGGCTACCCAAAATGGTGGTGGGGGGGGGGGCGCTACAAATAAAGAATATTCTAAAAAGCAAAACTTGTCTTTGCTGTGCCCTGAGCAATACACTGAGTCCTCAGGATCTCCAGGCAGGCCCTGTGGGAGGGAGCCTCTCACCATCTCAAAGATCCTCAGTCTCTCCAGCACTGGTTGAGCATTGTTCAACTCATGTCTCATT